GAAATGGACTAGAACCTAAAAGATTAAGATATTTTAAATAATTAATTATAAAAAATATAATTGAGAAAAGATTTCCTTCACATTAAATAGACAAATACTCTCTCTTCACGGCGTTGCACATGGACCCAACTATAGCTTTGCCATTGACATAACTCTGGCCTCATTTTATTCTTTTTGACGTTTGGTATTCAGTTTAATATATTCAAAAATTAATTAATTCATAATTAAAAATTGATATTAGTTATTTTATCTATTCCAAATTAAATAATTTTTCACTTGAAATACACTTTAAAGAACATTGATATACTTTAAAAATAAATTATAGTCTACTTTTTTACTCTTAATTAAATGATTTTAAAGGTATAATATTCAATAGTTAAGTATCTCTAAGGCTATAAAGAAAAATTAAATAATTTCTAAGGACACGCGAGAGCCTCAATTCATCCATTGATTTATCGAAATAACCTTTAGGGCATAATTAAGTACGAAAATATTATTTCTAGAAATTTATAAAGACATTTTATTTTATGCAAATTATGACGAGTTAGGTTAATTTGTACTTACGGACGGGGACAGGGTTTTGTTCTATAGCTAAAAATGTTGGGGGGAAAACGTTATTACAAAAAGTTTTTATAGTTTGTTTCTTCTTCGAGAAAATATGATTGGATGGTTTATAATTGCTCATCGTATAAGAAATCTATCCACTGCCTTAGTGCTATAAAAAGAAAAAAGAAATTAATATAAGAATCAAAGTAAAACAAAAATAAAAAGAGTATAGTCTGTTCAAATAAATCTAAATTCCGTTGGTGATGGAGTTTGAAATGCGAAACTATCACAATCGATCAATCAAGAAATGCAAAAGGCTAGTGAAATTTTGAGTTTGGGAAGATCCACTAATTAGTTGGAGTCATATTTATTTATGTAACTTATAAAAATTCCACTAGTTTAGGAGATAATTATTTAGATATATGCTAATTTTTAATTGATGCGTCCAAATACGTATACACACATGTATTTCGGGATATATGGTGTCAAAGTTATATATAAGTTATTCTAGATACACTGTATTCAAGTGAATTCATGTATTTGAGACACATAGATAAATTTCATCTCTCCAATCTCGCTCATCACTCTCATATTATTCCAGATACATGCAAATCATACCAAATACATGTATTTTATATGATTTGCATGTATCTCCGAGATACATAGACAAATCTCACTCACCTTCCTCCCATTTTCGCTCGTCACTTTTTCTATTTGAGTGTATCTGATAGCAAAATGTGTTTCGAAATATACTGCACTTGAAATATGATATGAAATTATTAATTAGTGGGATAAAATGTAATTATTTTAAACTATAGAAAAAAATAATAAATATGATAGATATATTTGTATAATTGAATAATTTCTCCATTTACTTATGTTTGAGGGTAAGTTCTTATTAATCACTATAAACTTCTAAAATTTCAAGACAAAAGTATCAAGAAATTTTACACTCTATTTGGATCATTGTTATCCATTTTTTCGTGATATATTGTCCTGTACTCTATTGTATAGTAGATATAATGTTTGGTTAGACTGTATTGTTTGTTGTTTAATAACATTTTTTTTGTTTGGTTTTACTGTATCGTATTGTATTGTAATTTATAAATTTATTAAAATATCTTTGATTATTCTAGGGTAAAAGGTTTTGTAAAGATATAGTTGAAAAAAGAAATTAAGTAATAATGAAAACACATCAAATTAGTTAATTTATAAAATGAGGATTTTCATTATAACGTAACAACAGAATTTAACAATACAATATAATATCTTTTAAGTAACCATCAAAACAAATATTTTTAGGTATAGTAACGATGCAATACAATGGATAGCAATGATCCAGACAGAACATTAAACTTAAAAAAAAAGAGAAGAAGCTATCCCCTCTCTCTTAAGTAATTTATGGCCAGAAATTTATATCTAAGAAAATTATTGTCTCAACAATTATAATTTAAGGGTAAATATAGCACGCATTGGATTATTAAAAAGTAAGTATGTACAATTGCAATTCACTTTAAAGGGAGATTATATTGCAATTTTTTTTAAAAAAAATAAAGTCTGATTAAGTTTACGTTCAATCTAATGCGTCAAAGGATATTGTTTGTAGAAATTCTTTTGAAGAGCTTATTTGAAAAAGAATTAGTTAATTGATTTCGATCATAAAGGAAATAACAAAATAAAGAAGTAAACACATTGAACGCTGCATAATTAGGATAGTAAAATAATTGGGGATTTTGTTTCAAGACATAACTAGTCAGATTAAACACTTAAATATAGACTTTTTTATATTCTATTTCATTGATATCTCAAATAAATCTAAATGGATTGCTTGGTATCCACGCTTCAAATATGAATTAAAATATAATATCATTTTAATTGATCTCTATTTAGTATGATCTTTAGGAAAAATATTTTGTTTCCATCAAGCTAAAACAATATGTTGATGTCTTTAGTAAGCTAAAGTCACCATTCAATAGATGTTTTGATTCGCTTTCTTCTTTACAAATAAAAATTTGAAGTTTTAGTTAGGATTAGCACATTTGTTTTGGCTACAAAATGCCACGGGTACCATCCTGTCATCTCTATCTACGTGACAATGTTATTAGCTTCAACAAAATCCAATAAATTCAAGAAGTGATTAACTATCAAGTATTATTAAAAAAATTTGAAAACACATGAAAAACATACTTTAAGTTCTTATAGACGGACAATCTATTATTTAAATTTGTATATTTATACCGAAAATTTATACAAACTTAATAATGGTCGTAGTTTGCCTAATTCTATCTAACTCTTATTTTCTTAATGCGACTGATAACATGACATACCCTCTTAATTACTTGTACTTATTCTATCAAGGACTTCTAATTTTAATTTTAATAGGACATTCAGTACTCCATTTAGTGGTACAAATTTATGCACAAACAGGTCCTTTAAACTTGTAAAAATTTAACACTTTGAATATCCATTAAATATTTAACAATTATGATCGAAATAGTAAAAAATTAAACATGTAATCATATACACCAAAAGAACTCCATTAAATTATAGAATTTTACAACACATACAAATTTGCATGTGGTAAATTCAATTTCTCTTTACTTCTAAATAGCAAAGTTTTCGCCATAATAATTGGAATAAGATTAAATATACATACTTACAAATGTGAAAACCTCCTCAAATGGTTAGTTATTTTAGTTTGACGCACAATCTACACTACACTTATATAACAGAATCAAATAACCAATATTTATTCATTCGAAAGCTTTTTGTTCATCAATGGAGTTGTATCACAAATCAACATGTCATGTAAATTTATTTCTCTTAATTAGGCAACATACATTATGCATAGATCTTTTCAATGTCCAATAATTATAAATTTACCATTTTTTATGGATTTTTTTTCTTTATTTTTTGGAACAGTTTCTAGGGAAACTGATTATCGCTTTGACATGGGGAATACTTTGTCTTAGAGCAGCGGAATGTATTGAGTATGAAGCTTTAAGTTGTCGAAAACACACAGCATTATTGACAGATTTTGGAGGCAAAGGTGACGGAAAAACATCGAACACAGAGGCATTTCGAAAAGCTATACATGAACTGAGCAAATTTGCAACAGATGGGGGAGCACAGCTCATTGTTCCTCCTGGAAAATGGTTAACAGGGCCATTCAATCTAACTAGTAAATTCACTCTTTATATACATCAGGATGCTGTCCTTCTAGTTTCTCAGGTTTCGTTCATTCCTTGTCCCTTTCTCTATTTACTTAAAAGAAAATTGGTTTGATCGGAACCTGAACTTTCACCTTGTTGGTGAGAGTTCGATTTTTCATCTTGTAATCCCATCCTCCATTTCCCCTTAAAGGACATTTGTTTGATCTTTTTTCTTATCCCGAAAACCATCTGGTTGATTACATAAATTAATCATCGAAACAGAAATGTGTACGAAAAAATCATTGTTCAACTCTTTGACAACATTACAAACAAACAAAATCCCTGTTTCTCCCGCTCTATCTATTTTCGAGGGATGGGAGGACAGAGGAATTTGGCCTCCAGGATTTATTCTGTTCCTTAAAATCGTCAGCAGGTATCAATGTTAATATACACACATGTGATTTTTTGTACAGGATGAGGCAGAGTGGGATTTAATTCCACCATTGCCATCTTATGGAATAGGAAGGGATAATCCAGGACCAAGGTTTATCAGTTTCATTTTTGGAACAAACTTGACTGATGTAGTCATTACAGGTAAATATCCTCTTTGTACTATCAAGTCAAAATAATATGCCAACAATTACTACGCTCTAGTCGGAAGCTAATTGGGATCAAAAAAGACGTATGGATCCTCAATATCATGAATATTTCAGACATTGATGCCAACACTTGTAATGTTAGTTGTTTTTATATGTATGCTGATGATGATTAGGTGGAAATGGCACCATAGATGGTCAAGGTCAACTGTGGTGGACTAAATTTCGACAAGGTCAAATGAAAAACACCCGACCTTACATGATTGAGATCATGTTTTCTGATCATGTTCAGATTTCCAATCTAACATTGATCAATTCTCCTTCATGGAATGTCCATCCTATTTACAGCAGGTTTACTTTCTTGTTCCTCTCATTTGTTTATATCATATCCTTTTATAATTCATGTCACCATCGTTGGATTTGTGCCATGTGGAGCACACGAAAGGAAAACCCGCCTACCAGGAGGTTCTCGATTCTCAAGGGACGAACTAGGCATCTGATTAAGGGTGGAGGGATCTTATCATTCCACCGTACTCCCTAGTGGTGCTTGTTAACTTACTTTGATATGTATTCTTTAATTCTGATTTTTTTTTTCTTAACGAAAAATGCAGTTTTGTGATTATTAACGGATTAACAATCCTTGCACCATTTCATGCACCAAATACAGATGGGATTGACCCAGGTTTGTTACAAGAACAGATTCAAGTAATTAAGGGATGAGAAGATCGATGACATCCCCTAGTGAAGTAGTTACTAATTCATTTATTGGTTGTGCAGATTCTTGTTCCAACACAAGAATTGAAGATTGCTACATAGTGTCAGGGGATGATTGCATAGCAGTGAAAAGTGGCTATGATGAATATGGGATAGCATTTGGAATGCCTACAAAGCACCTAATCATAAGAAACCTCACCTGCATATCACCTAGTAGTGCAGTCATTGCTCTGGGAAGCGAAATGTCCGGTGGCATTCAAGATGTGAGAGCTGAAAACATTGGAGCAATTGGTTCTGAATCAGGGCTGAGGATCAAAACTGCTATAGGAAGAGGGGCTTACGTTAAAGACGTGTTTGTGAGAGGAATGACATTGCAGACAATGAAATATACCTTCTGGATAACAGGCGATTATGGGGCTCATCCTGACGATCATTATGATCGTAAAGCAATTCCTGTCATTCAAGGAATCAATATAAAAGACACTGTAGCAAAGAATGTGACAATAGCAGGGAAATTAGCGGGGATAGATGGTGATACCTTCAACGGAATTTGCTTATCGAATGTGGCCATCGAGATGTCACAACAGGCTAATCAACTACCATGGAACTGCAGTAATATCAAAGGTGTTTCTAGCCAAGTCACTCCTCAGCCCTGTGCTCTGTTGCCTCATAAGAAAATTGATTGTCCTTTTCCCACTGATACTTTACCTGTTGATAACATTCAGTTCCAGACTTGTGCTGCAGCTACTACTATGCATTAAGTAAAAGATAGTCAAATACCCAGCCAGTCCCTTGTTAGTGAAATTATCCGCGTTTCACACAGTTATATAATAATAATTGATATAACGAAAACTAGTAATTGCTACCTTTAGGTGAGCACAGAATAAGATAGGTTCTTGTTTTTAAACGAAGTAGTATGTAATATTTATATACATTCAGATTAGGCAATGAAGATACTATAGATTTTTGTTTTTGTCCTGAATATAATATATAGTTTTTTTTTTAATTTTCTCGATCTTTTATAGACTACGATCTTCTATATAGACTTTGATTTTTTTTTTTATGACATAAGTTTTAGAACAACACTATAAAGAGGCGTAACAAAACTACTATTACAAGTTAAAGGTAAGAAAATTTCTAGCAAAAATAATTTTTAGGTATGCTTCGACAAGTTTCTTCTAGGCCTTCCTTTACGAGTAGATCCATCACCATATTCAGCTCCTTGTCAAACCCCTCGTCATACGCAACTTATTAATATTTTTAACTCTATTATGAAGAAATAAAATAAATTATTTAATTATAATGACATTAAAAAAATGTATCAAAAGAGGAGAAAGAAATTTATACCATACAATATATTCGTAAAAAAATTAAGAGTAAATTGAATAAATGACATATTTCAATGTTATTATTACCAGTCTTAACAGGACTTTATGTTTTCTAAGTTTAACATTAGAATTCTAACAACATTTAACATATTTGTTTTTTATTAAAAAGAAAACATGTAAATAATAAATAAATTAATAATGGATTGGTAAGAGTATATACTTTCAATAAATTTAGGAGTATAATGTTAAATGTTGCTTTCCATAAATTTCTCAAAATTGGTTTGTTTTGAGTTCTCCTATTAATCAGAAAATTTTATTTTTCTTTCATCTTTTCTGTTTACATTTAAAAAAATATATATTTCTTGTCTTTTCTAATCACTTTTTTTTCGTGGTACATGAGAAAATGTTAATGTTTTTTTCTTTTTTTGTAGTATCCAAATTGATTTTTTTCTTTTTAAAACAAAATATAAAAAAGACTTCTAAGCAAAATAAATATAAGAAAATTCAAACAAGGTAGTGTTGGTCACAATATTATGTAAGGTAGAGTATGTAATTGATATTTAAACAAATATTAATGGGGATCGCTTCACGATGTTATTCATTAAGTGTATGAATTTAATATATAAATTGATTATAAACGATGAATTAAATTTAATTATTTTGGATCTGATTTTACACACATTGAGGAGAGTTAATAATTTATTTTATTTTATTTGTATAGATTCCAAACGTCACACAAACATAACTTTTTTAATCTATTTTAATACCCACGAGATCTAATAGTATAATTCACAAATAATGACATATATATTAACTGATAATAAGCAATGAATTAAGCTTAATTAATTGGAAGCTAATTTTATACCGTTTGAAAAAGGATTAGAAACCTATATTATAATATGAATTTCACACATTTCACTAAAATCATAAATAAACTGCACTTTGAATATCTATTTAATACTCACATCCACCAACAATAATTCATAGTGATGTATAAATTGGTATTAAAACAAGTTTTTTAATAATTAAGTGTATACATAAAATTTATTATATAAAATGGTAATAAGTGAGGAATAAAGCTTAATCAATAATTAAAAAAAATCAATTGGGAGCTAATGTTATACAGTTTGAAAAAGGGTTAGGAACCTATATGATAGTAGATTTTCACTAAAATCATACATAAATTAATAAGATTGCACTTTCAATACCTACTTCATACTCACATCTAGAGTCATTAAAATAGGCTTGACCCGCGAGATCACAAAATATCACAAATTCAATCCTATCATCTCTATCTCTGCGATTGGCGAATCAAAATCACATGACAATGTCAATAGCTTCAATAAAATTCGATAAATCCAAGAAGTGATGAATTATTAAGTATTATCAAAAAGATTTGAAAGTTAAAGATAAGAAAAACATATTTCTGGTTCCTATAGATGGACGATCTATGATTTAAATCTATACATTTATACAAATTTGTACAAACTTAATAATGATCATAGAATATCTAATTCTGTCTAACTCATACTTGTTAATTAGTAGAGGTTCTTTAGTCAATTAAAATTGATAATATGACCTACCCTCTTTGCTTGTTCTTATACATATTAAGGACATTTGATTTTAATTATGATAAAAGGATACTCCCATTTAGAAGGGCAAATGCAAAAATCTATGCATGGAACAAGTTTGGTCCTTTAAACTTAATCAAAATCAACACTTTGAATATCCATTAAATATTTAATTATTTATGTTCGTTAGATGTGATTGAAATAGTGAAAAAGTCAAAGATTTAATCATATACACCAAAAAAGCTCCATTAAATTTAAAAAATTTAGAACACACAAAAAATTACTCTAGACATTAAAAATTTCCAAAAAAAAAAGAAGAGAAGAAAGCAGTGAACATCATACCAAACTCTAGAAATAAACAAAAGAATAGCATATGCTACAAAAATGGTCCCTTTCAACTGTGAGTTCCTACTAAATCCCAATAGAATTCAATAAATATTTGACAGATAAAATATATTTTTTTTGTTCATTTTTAATTATCGATTATTTTTTAAAAGTCAAACAATAAGAATTATGATCAATATTTTTACGATATATTTTCTCATTATATTGATAGGTAAAAATTTACAAGTTATAGTACTTGTTGTATAGTTTTTAAGTATTTATTTATTTTTGTTTAAAATATTGATTAAAATAATTTAATTTAATTTTAAAAATTAGTTTAATTGACTTTCGAAAAACGTATCTTATAGTCAGACTAAAAGAATATTTGACTTAACTTAAAAGAAGGAAAAACTTATTAACTGTGTTAATACATACAAAATTATTTTGAATCTACTCGTAAATATAACAAACCGTTATGTCCTTTTCTCTACAATTGATACGTCAGGGTTCATTGTCCCGATTTATCTCTTATTTATTTCATTTGTAAGATTTATTGCCTTGGCTTAATATTGCATTACCGAATAAACACTTTCCAAATGCAATATAGCAAGTGGATTCTCTCATAACTAAATCATTAAATTTCTTATTACCAAATTTGCATCTAGTAAATTTCAATTTCTCTTGACTTTTAATAAATAGCAAAGTTTTCGCCATAATAATTGGAATAAGATTAATATACTTACCAATATGAAAATCTCTTAAAATGGTTAGTTATTAAATGTTTAGTTTGACGCACAATCTACACTACACTATATAACAGAATCATACAACCAATATTCATTCATTCGAAAGCTTTTTGTTCATCAATGGAGTTGTACCACCAATCAACATGCCATGTAAATATATTTCTCTTTATTTAGGCAATATACATTATGCATAGATCTTCTCAATGTCCATTAATTATATAATTTACCATTTTCATTGATTCTTATGGATTTTTCTTTATTTTTTGGAACAGTTTCTAGGGAAACTGATTATCGCTTTGACATGGGGAATACTTTGTCTTAGAGCAGCGGACTGTATTGAGTATGAAGCTTTAAGTTGTCGAAAACACACAGCATTATTGACAGATTTTGGAGGCAAAGGTGACGGAAAAACGTCGAACACAAAGGCATTTCGAAAAGCTATACATGAACTGAGCAAATTTGCAACAGATGGGGGAGCACAGCTCATTGTTCCTCCTGGGAAATGGTTAACAGGGCCATTCAATCTTACTAGTAAATTCACTCTTTATATACACAAGGATGCTGTCCTTCTAGTTTCTCAGGTTTCATTCATTCCTTGTCCCTTTCTCTTTTTACTTTAAAAAAAATTGGTTTGAGCGGAAACCTGAACTCACCTTGTGGGTGAGAGTTCGATTTCCCATCTTGTAATCCCCTCCTCTGTTTCCCCCTTAAAAGAAGAAGAAGAAGAAGAAAAAGCACATTTATTTGATCTTTTTTCTTATCTAGGGGGTAAAAAGGAAAGAATCAGCCCGAAAACTATCTGGTTGATCACATAGATTAATCACCGAACCAAAATGTTTTGGTGAAAAAGAATGCGAATGAAGGATCTCACTGAATTAAATCTATTCACGTTTAAATGTGTACGAAAAAAATATTGTTCAACTCTTTGACAACATTACAAACAAACAAAATCCCTGTTCTCCCGCTCTATCCATTCGAGTGATGGGAGGACAGAGGAATTTGGTCTCCAGAATTTATTTTGTTTCTTGATACCCCTTAAAATCGTCAGCAGGTATCAACGATACAAATTAAACCAGAAAATTTACACCATATAAATGTTTCAGATAAACCAATTGTGTATTATCACAACATTTTTCTATAATTGTCTCAATGTTTCACCTTTTAATTAATTTTTGATATTTCATTTATAGAAATGACACATAAGAATCTCTACTTAAGCTAGACATATCACTTTAAAGAACTACATTAACATTATATCTGAGTTGACCTAGCGAACCTAGACGAGGTTCCTTGACGTAAGCAGTGGTGTAGCCACATACTAATTATATAGATCAAACTTTACTGTTTTATACATATAATGAATCTCGGATATCCTTAACAAATTCTTGACTTCACTTAAGATGATGCAACAGCTGTTGCTGATATACACATATGTGATTGTTTGTACAGGATGAGGCAGAGTGGGATTTAATTCCACCATTGCCATCTTATGGAG